AAAATATGTATCTAAATAACAAAATCATGCATTCGTTTCAAAAATAAAATTACACCCATATTTGAAACGACCAAGGGTGTTAGGCAGGGTTGTGTCATTAGCCCAATGCTTTTTAATTTGTTAATGACTTAAATAATTCACTAGAAGATGAATCATTAGACCCAGTTACATTGAATAACTGTAAAATTAGTTCCCTACTCTATGCAGATGATCTAGTGTTAATATCTGAAACAAAATATGGTCTACAAAATGCACTAAATAGTTTAGAAATGTATTGTCAAAAATGGAAACTCCAGGTAAATCTGACAAAAACAAAAGTTGTTATTTTCAGACGATGAACACTGAAAAGGACAGAAAAATTCTATTATAATGAACAAAATATTACCTGTGTAGATATGTACAACTACCTGGGTATAAATATAAAGTCAAATGGCTGCTACACTGAAGCCAAACAAAATTTAGCAGATAAAGCAGCCCGAGCAATATATGCATTGAAACAGTTCATTCCACCAGAAACAAATTGTAGAACTTTCATCCATCTTTTTAAAAGGTGTATTCAACCAATATTATTGTATGGATCTGAAATATGGAGCCATGAAATTCAAGATTACAACAAATGGGACAAAACAATAACAGAAAAAACACAATTGAATTTTTACAAACAACTACTAGGATTGAACAAATTTGTGACAAACATTGCATGCAGAGTTGAAGTAGGAGAATTCCCACTCTTAGTAGATATTCAGATAAATTTAATAAAATACTGGACTCGAATCAGTAAATTACCAGGCAATAATATCACAAAACAAGCATACCTTGAACAAAAGAATCCAATTTACAATGGTACTCTTCAATACAAAAAATGATGAACAACATGAACTTTTCACGAGAACAACAGAATGATTTGTTAACAAAACATATACAGCAAATTGGCAAAGTTGTCAAACAAAAATACATTATTTTCTGGAGAAAAAATATAACTGAAAAAACATATGCATATGCAACCAAGAATACCTACTGAAAATAGAATTTGCAAACAATGTTCACAGAATGAAATAGAAGTTGAACTGCACTTTGTTATAAAATGTCCACAATATAAAGTAATACGACAACAAATCATACAAGACATTTCATTTCCACAAGAAACGCAGGATGATCTCCAGAAATTTAATTTCTTGATGACTTCAAAAAATGATGTAATAATAAAAAAGATTGGCAACTATATTCATAACGCATTTCAATCAAGATATGAACATGCCATTTGATATGTAACACTTGCTTTATCCTATTAACAACTAATTTTCTTTTTGTAGTAGTAGTTATCACAACTAATCTTTACATGTATTGCTATTAACTGATAGAAACACTGTATTTCTAAGGATGCAATAAAGTTATTATTATTATTATTATTATTATTATTATTATTATTATTATTATTATTATTATTATTATTATTATTATTATTATTATTATTATTATTATTATATCGTTCAGTTTACGTATTTTAGAATAATTAGTTTTAGTTGTCTCACCTCACCTAGTATTTCCTAATCTATTCTCTACTCGGTTTAACTTTCTATTTATTTCGATTCCATCAGTATTGCGTTCACTGTCGTTCTTATGGCCGCGATCGTCTTGAATATACTAGCACTGTTGCAGCTTACTATATACACATATTCGTGGAGAAACGGATAAACCCAGGATGAACGGCAACCAAACCTTGCGATCAGACGATAAGCCGCGAAGTTACTCTTCGTCAATCTGAATGTCCCTGGATGTTGGCGATAACATAGGTGAACTAGTGTGCGTTGTTATAGCCTCTGCACTTTGCCTTCACATATTAGAAAGAGGGTTAAACGAAACCATTCAAACGGGTGATGTGGCCGCTGATGAAGATAACTGTGAAACCCTGTATAAGTCATAAAAGTTATACCGTTATTTTCTGTAATTTCTTTGTCAATTTTAGAATAATAACATTTTCAATTCACGCACAAACGGGCAATAAACCCATTATCTGTGTGGACTGTGTTGGTTATCAAAAACGTCAATTAATATACCAACTTGAAGGGAAATATTTACTGATACCACGTGTTTGCCAGATGCTCACGACTAGGGACAGTGTTATATATTCAGATTAAAAAACACTAGTAGATCATGACAAGTGCGGTTTTGAAGCTCCAAGATCCAGTAGAAAAAATTACCTTGTTGTGGTGAATGAAAATACAAGCTTATGCTAAATCGGGAGAGGTCGCATTTTTATTTTGCAATAAACCATCCCGACTCGTTCATATATGTCGATCGGTTGGTGGGACACCCGCGGACCTACTTCCACAGTGGGTAAGGGTGTGAAGCCCACCTCTCGTAAACCATACTCACTTCTAAACCATTTTTCTTCTATTTATATACCCACTTCTAAACACAAGTGTTTTCAGTGAAAAAAACAAAAAAACACCCAACTCACAACTTTCGCAACCAGTGAGCGCATCCGGGCAATGCATTTTATTCAGCCTTTTCCGGTATTTGGCTCTGAATATAAATTGGAATTTAGAAGTAAACGTAAAGAAAACTAAAGTCATGGTATTTAATTGCAGCAACAGACTGATTAAAAACATGAATTTTAAAATCAACAACCAAGACATAACAGCTGTTAGCGAGTTTTGCTATTTAGGGGCAATATTTACTCCAAATGGGAAATTTAAAACAAACTTATCTATGTTAAAAAATAAATCAATGAAGGCTCTTTTCAGCATCAGACAAACAGTCTTAAACCACAAAATAATCTCACCAGCACTTAGTTTGAAAATTTTCGACCAATTAATTTCACCTATACTCATGTATGGTGCAGAAATCTGGGCCAATGAAATCACAACTGACAGTAACAGTTTAGAGCAAGTTTGCAGTCATTTTTACAGGTTTATCCTAGGAGTGAGTAAAATGACGCCAATTAGTGGTTTGAAAGCAGAACTTGGTAGGTTACCAGTAAAATTAAAAATTAATTTGGCTCAAATTAAATACTGCCATAGACTATATAGTCTGCCAGATAATCACATTTTAAAATTAGCCCTGGATGAAATGATAAAAATTAATTCAAACTGGGTAAGGACT